TTAAAATCATACTAAATCAAAAGATCTAACAAAGAAAAGATCAAATGAATCTAACTAGAGAAAATCTATCTAGAATAAATGCAAGCTCCTGCACTCAGCTCCAAAAAAGCCAGCAGCCCAAGTATAGGATGGATGAGAGACAAATGGTAACTAAAAGGCTTGTGAGTTTTAGTTGGCAGTAAGATTAATGAGTCAACAGTGTGATGTGTCTTCCATTAAAATTTAGGCTCCATTAATAAAAGAACATTATCTAGGACAACAGAGGTGATAATTCCACAGTATAATGTAGCGGTTATACTGATAGATTCAAATCCTGACCATCATGTTTTAGTAATGTCACCTTAAAATTACACAATTCCTGAGTCTCAGTTTCCTCATTCATAAATTGGAAATGATAATACATACCTCCCAGGGTTAAGATAAGACTTAAATGAGATAACACTTGGTACATAATATTGTTTAACATATAAAACAAAACAAGTTGTCCAAGCATTCTTTCCTTTAACAGTATCTACTGAGTGCTATTACGTTCCAGGCATTCCTCCAGTCACTAAAAAATCACTGGCCATGTTTGGCTGAGGCTGAGCACCTCCTAGGGGATGCCTCCTGGGTCCACAGGACACTGGAGCCTGCGCCAAAAAAACCTTGAGGGCAATAGAAGGTTACCAATTTCACACACAATCTCAGCCAGTTGCCTCCACTCATAACCTTCCACGGCTTACAAGTCAGGTCCGCAATCAGTGGACAAACCAGGCTGCATCTGGGCCCTCCCTCGGGGATGCAAAGTCAGTGAACAAAGAGACAAAATTCCTATCCGCATGGAGCTTAAATCTTGGTGGAAAGGAGGAAGTAACTTCTCTATCATTGTTCCCCCCAGCATGGACTGGACAATCACGAACATGAAACAACACCATAAAAAGAATGATTAGAACACCCTTTCAACTCGGAGGTTCCATGATGTAAAGACTATGCATCTATGATTTGAAGTACGAATACTACAGGAAAACACAGAAATGCATTCCCAAGTTTTAATCTATCCATGAAAGGTTTGTAACAACTACCATACCACTGCCATCTCCTCCAGCACCATTACCATGGCATTGCTGCCTGCAGGCAACTCCTCTGATTTCATAGCTGCCCTCTCAGATACTGTATATCATCTATCCCTCTAAATGCTTAACTCAGAGATGCCTCTACCGCCTCAGATACTTTCCTTTTCTCCCCGGTACCCTCTTCACCAGGGAAACAATATAGAGTCATTAGTGGAAAGAGCTTAGCTTTTTTCATCACACAAACCTGGGTTCAAATTCTAGCCCAAGGATAGCCAGTCTGCTGCCTCTACTAGGAATCTTCTGGAACCTGAAGGTCAAGCCTACAATCCCTGGCCATGTTTGGCTGAGGCTGAGCACCTCCTAGGAGATGCCTCCTGGGTCCACAGGACACTGGAGCCTGCGCCAAAAAAAACCTTGAGGGCAATAGAAGGTTACCAATTTCACACACAATCTCAGCCAGCTGCCTCCACTCATAACCTTCCACGGCTTACAAGTCAGGTCCGCAATCAGTGGACAAACCAGGCTGCATCTGGGTCCTCCCTCGGGGATGCCTCCTGGGTCAAGCCCCCTATCTGCTAGGGGCTGACCTCTTTAAGTTCACCTTTGCTTCTTCAGTTATTGTTACAGTCACAAATCTAGCCCTGAGAAAACTCATACTCAAACTCACTCCGTACTCAAGTCAACTAGTCTCCACTAATTATGAAACTCAAAAACAAAGATAGTGATCCCATAATAAAGGCATTTTAGTTCCAATAGATTTGTTGATTTGCAGCTGAAAAGGTTCTCAAAGTACTATTGCCATAGAAGAATTAGTATTTTCTCTCAAAAGTACTCTAGAGTCACTGTGTTGGAAAAATTGTAGGATGATTTCACGTTACATTCTAGTAGTGTTCATTTTTCCCCCTTCAATAAAATATTTAGGATATAGTCCTTTTTACTTTTGGCCGGATTCTCCTTTTAAAGACATTCACTTTAATAATGGCTAATACTGGTGCCGGCCCGGTGGCGCAGCGCTTAAGTGCACACATTCCACTTCGGCAGCCCGGGGTTGGCCAGTTTGGATCCCGGGTGCGGACATGGCACCACTTGACCCACATATAGGTGTCCCACATATAAAATAGAGGTAGATGGGCATAGATGTTAGCTCGGGGCCAGTCTTCCTCAGCTAAAAGAGGAGGATTAGCAGCAGTTAGCTCAGGGCTAATCTTCCTCAAAAAAAATAAGAATAATAGTAACAGCTAATGCTTACATAGCACTTACCATGTGCCAAGCACCATTCTAAGCACTTACATTTAATCGTTTAATCCTAAAACAACCCTAAGAAGTGAGTACTAATTTACAGATAAGGAAACTGAGGCCTAAAGAGATTAAAACAACAGGCTCAAGTTCACACTGCTAGAAAGTGGTGGAGTATGCTCTTAGCCACAATGTCACAAGCTCACTTTACCCCAAACTAATTTTCCAGCACCATACAAGTAAGAGAAATAAAATTAGAGTCAGCAAAGGATTTCTACTCCTCAGAATGCTTGACAAAGTAAACTAAGAACAAGCTTTAAAATACAATTCTAAAGGTGTAGTGGTGGGCAAGAGGACAATAAAAATTCAAGGAAGGAGAATTTTTTTAAACTTTCAGGACAAGAGGAGATTCAAAGCACCAGTATTTTCAATATACTGCCTTAAAACTGACAGCTATGAAATCTATGCATTTCTCTTCAGGTTGAAACTACTATTATGTGCTTTAAAAGAATTTAAGCATCTATATCTAAAAAGAAACTTAGATCCAGTTTCTGCCTAATGGCTGCTCACTGTCTACCTGCAATACATTATTTTTCATGTAGGAAAACACCAACTTAGAGATAACTGGCCTCACTGGCCTTCCTGTACATTGCTGGAACAGACAGAAAGAAAAACATCAATTCAGAAAGAAACTTAGACATATAATTGGGAGTGGGGAGAGCTAAAAAAAAAAAAAACAAAGTAAAGAAAATAAGTGTTTCTGTCTAAGTCCAGAGAGAGATCTACTGCTGCATACGATAAATGTCAAAGGTGGTGTGGTGTGCCTACAAACCCAGAGTCTATCACTAATAACCTTCAAAGACTTTACTTATGCAACACAGTGCTCTCCTTTAGCAAGAACAGAACCTTGGAAGCAAAAAAATGCAAAAGATAACGGGTCATCATATGGAATTGAACCATCCAACTGGTCCAAAGGAAAGAGAATTTGAGAATTTCTGTACGTGAATGTAAAGCTGATAGAAATACAGGCAGTCTTTGCTCTGCACTATACCATGTTAACTGAAACTAGCACATATTGGAGTCAGGTCCTTTCTTTGCAAGGTTCTGTAGTAACTGACATCAAACCATGACATCCAAACTATGTAAAGCTGAGAGCAGAACTATGCAAAGAGAGGATATGGTTCTGATATACATGAGTTTCAGTTAACATCAAGTAATGCAAAGCAAGGACTGCCTTGATAACCGAACCTACTGGAATTCAACATCACATAAAAATATGTTCAGCTCCTGATTATCCTGATTATTCAAGCTCCTGATTACCTAGCTTGTAGATTATCTGGGGGAAATCTCATGACTTACTTGCCTATTAGAGGCGGCTGTATTATATAGCTGAAACACCATGGGACTTCAAGCCAGGACATCAGAGTTTAGATTATGGTTCTGCCACTTAATGGCTATGTGACCTTGGGCAAATCATTTTTCCCCTCCAAACCTTAATTTCTTCGTCTGTAAAATAAAGATAATGACATATACCTCCCAGAGTTGTTGTGCAAATGAAATAATAAAAAAGTCACTAATGTTTAATGAGAGCTTACAATGTATCAAGGACTTTTCCAAGTGTATTTTGTATATTGAAACCTCTCAAAAACTATGAGACAGATTATTATCTCCATCTTATGAAAGTATCCAGAAATATGTCTGGTATATGGCAATTGCCCAATATATGTTTGGTGATATGTATCTGTTTCATTACTCGATACCACCTCCATCCATGATAATAAATAGGTACTGAAAAGAAAACGAGAAAATCTGAAATCTGTTCATTTATTAGATGCTTCAAAAGACTGTTGGAAGAGAAGAATTAAGTCTTTTGAAAATAGGGAGGTTTCTCACTCCTAGAGATTCCTTTATCCTCCTCCTCTTAAGTGCTAGTTGTACTCTAAGATCCTGGAAGAGGTTAACTAGCAGACTTCAAAGACAGCCAACTCTGTTGGTGACAGAAACCATACTCAGAAAATCTGGCACTGGCCACTGCTGCCAGCCTGGCCAAACACATGCAATGAATTAATGGCTGTGTCCCAACGCCCTGCCTATCTCATCCAGCCCAACCTCCTTCACAGACACAACCCTTCAGATGCTAATACTTCCTTCCTAAAGTTCTCATTAGCCACTTTAGGTTAGAAAGCAAGAGTACTGTCTAGGGTCACACTGTGGAAATACACTCTATCAAAGTTGTCTTTCAGAAGAGTAAAGGGAAGAAGCTGGAAATATTTTATGGTTTTTGATCATGAGTCCACCAGCATGAATTCATTTATTCAATTAGATTCCTAGCCATTTGTAACTTTAGAAGGCAGAGTGGACATGGTGCTTTGAGGGTGATATACAGAACAGGGAATTTCACTGAAAGTTCTGTGTAAAGAGGCAGCACAAAGACCTATCCCAGAAGGGTCTAAACAGGATGTCAGAGCTGAAACCTCTTTGGAGATCATCAAACTTCCCATTCTACCAATGAAGGATCTAATTCCCAGAAAGAAGTGACTTAGCCAAAGTCACTCAAAGTTTATTGGCAGAGCTGGAACTCTCAACTTGGTTCTTGCTACCACACCAAGCAACAAGTATACCAAGATAGAGAAAAGCGGGAAAGGGAGAAAAGAAACAGAGTGCTGCAGACAACGTTAGCCTAGAGCCATCCTTCATCGCTGCCTTACTCACCTTTCCCAACTTCTGCTGATTGCATCTAAATCCAAGGAAGGCTGAGGATAGAAGCAACAAAGAGCCCCAGGCTCCATTTGGTCCCCTCTCCTGCAACATGATAAACATACTTAACTATGGACTCTCACTGACCCCTTCATGCCAACAAATGACTCAAACTGTTTTACCTTAAAGAATAAAAAATGGCTTAAGTCTGCTTCCTCTTTCATATCACAGCCCTGTAGAAATGCTACATATACTACTTTTTCTGAACCCAGACACTGATAAATCTGTAGTTCCACCTCTGGCTCAGGTTTTCAGTGACTGGCTACATTCTTCAGAGGGATCCTGTTCTCTGGAAACTATGCTTTTCTCTTTGACTCATCACACCCTCACCTCTCTTTCCCATCTACTTTTCTATTTCAGTGGTCTCCAAAGTGGCTCACACAACCTAGGAGTACACTATATGAATATACTGGTGTATATTTATTTATTTAAAAGATAAGAAAAACTAATCCTTTCCTAAACTTAAATACAGATTAGCACTCTGGGTCCATATGCCAGACACTAATGTGTCACATCTTGTACCAGAAGAAAGAGAGAAGACTGATTATGGATAATATTATCTAGTCTTTAACTAAATTAACCCTGAACAAATGTTCAATGGTTTCAAAAGATCCTTCCAAAGAGACCACGGTTTGAGCATAATATTAATAATATAGGCCTTAGTGATAATAAGACTATCACCAAGCTAACACTTGTAAACCCTTTTGTAGCCACATTACAAGATAAAAACAATGATGACCCAAGCAGATCTGACAAGAAATAGGGCAAGGGTTTTTTTTACTTATCAAGAAGACATTTTGAGATATAGATTTATATCTAGTATCATTAACAGTGTACCTTACCCTATTGTACTTTGAGATATTAAATAATAAGAATGTAAAGCCATTAAAATCAGTAAGACATTGAAAAGTAAGCATATAGATAATTGCTGCAATTTTTCCAATAATGTTTAAAATCATACAATACTCAAGCCAATATTTTACAAAATTTCACCAAACTTCTGACATTCCTCAGTTAAAAAAGACAAAAAGTCACGTGCTATTAGAAAAGCAGTTGTTCATCCTGATTCTATAAAGATAACTAAAATAATACACAGAAAACAACATGGTAACAAATTTAAATAAATTCCCTTGCTAAAAAAATTCAGAGTTTCCATAATGCACAAATCTGGGTAACCAGTTACCTAGAACGCAATGTGAATGATGTTCTCTGTGGTTGTGCAATGAGTACTGCCACAAACAGTATTGGAAGTTGCAAAGAAAACATGGCTGAAGATTTGTAGAAGAAATTAATGTCATGTAGGATGCTTGCTTTTCAGATAAATGAATACACGTACTTTTGAACATGCCTCAGTTTATATTTGATAGGCAAAGTCCTACTTTTGGGTGAGCCACTGAAGTATATACCAAAGAAGATATCTCAACCGTGTTTCTTTTTTTAATAAAAGTAATTTTTAGGAAAAACTGACTAAGTGTAACCACTGGTAAAGCAGTTGCCCTAGATGGACTAAAGGGAAAAAATTAGGGATAAGATTACAGAGATAGCACCATGGACTTTACTAACCATATCATTCACAGCCAAGCAATTGTGGCACAGTGCTGAAACCAAGTGCCATATGATGATGCAATTACTTTTAAAAATAGACTGTAAAACAGAGTAAAATCTTTACAATGCTTTGAAATGACACGGGGAGTGACCATGAGAATTGTTCATACCACCTAGATGTTCCACTGCTTATCTCATGGCAAAGTTTCCAAACTTAAGGATAAGGAACAAAAAAGCTAGTGTACCAAATGTGCTCACCTTTTATGTGATGAAAGTAACTGTGTGTGTGTTACCAAGAAGCTAGCTAGCTAGCTAGATACATAAATACACACATACATGCATTCATACATAACATACATAACTACATACCATCAAACAAACTTAATTTGTCTCTTCAAGGTAAAGGTGATATTTTATCAAATTAGGAAGTAACTCCTTTTCAAAACAGATTCACGCTATGAAAAAGTATTTTGAAAACATATGTTTGGAAATGATTCCATCATAGTGTGATTTTGTTACCAAAAATTCTATGTCTCTATGTCTATCACCTTCAAAAACTCTCATCTGTTTTCAACTTTAAAATTGGCAACACAATGTTCTAACCTGTTTAATGATGTTCCAAAAAGTTTCAGTGGGTTTTGAGTCCATTTATCAAAAATATGAAAATACTATACCTTCAACCTCATTGGCAAAAACAACTGATTGCTGTCAGGGAAGATGGAGATTTACTCGCCTAAATTTTAATGAAACTTTTTGCATATTTTGTATATAGCATTAATAAATCGGTATCACATTTTAATAAGTGCAAACAATGATGTACTTCTTTATTTGGATCTTTTTTCCCCTAAGGTATCATTTTCACCTGTGGTAGCATTAAAGCCATGGAGCAAAGTAAACTGAACTTAGAAACAAACCTTTAAATCACTTCATCACAAAGTGTTAAACTAAGATTTTTAAAAATAATAATGCATAGTAAATTATAGGGTTTGGGGTACCACAGTTAGTTTTATTTTATTTATTTATTTTATTTATTTTATCTATACCTCTCTCTTTTTAATATCTACTTATGAATATTTTAGAGACTATATTAGCACATGTATATAATTTTAAATAAATATGCACATGTATTAGGGCACATATTCATAAACATTTTGCTGATGGTGTGCTCTATCTAAAAAGGTTGGAGACTACTATTCTATCATAGTCAGAAGTTCTCCCCAAAAAGCCCTAAAATTATCTTGCCAGAGGAATTCTTCCAGACTCATCCTTACCAACAATACCCTCCAGTTGCCCTTGAGCTATCCAAACCACCTAAAATCTGTATTTCCTTCTCTCCTTAAGCATCCTAAATTCTGCTCCTTTCACCTCAGCTACTGAAAATGCTATGTTCGCCTCAGTCAGGCAGGGAGGAGACCAACTAGTGCTACTATGTGATGACATTCAAACATTTTTAATAATCAAAGATATTTGCTTTTAAGATGCATTAGCAATATATTTATTTAACTAAATGAAGGCTTCATTTTAGACAATTTAGGATGACCAAATAATTTAATGCCCCTCTTACTAAGTTTAACAAAATTACATTTTTGTTTTTAAATTACTGCAGATATAAATTCGTTAAATAGGTAAAACTAAAGACTGTATAATCATTGCCTCATAAAATTTAAAGGACATTGGTAGAAATGTCCTATTGATTGGTATTTTAATAATAGAAATTAGTGTATGCACGGATCAAAAGGGACGAGGAGAATAATCCAAAGATGTGAAAGTGGTGCTAAGAAAATTCAAAAGAAAAAAAATCAGCATACAATATGAAGGGGTATACTTTTCCATATACCTTACTCATACAGCTCCTGATAACATTAATGAGTTTTCCATGTGGACATAACAAAGAAATTAAACACAAAATTTCACAACTAAGACACAGCTAATTATGATGAGTGCTTCGGAAAAGGTCCCAAGGTGTCATAATTAAAAGCTGAGTTATTTTTTATTCTTTCCTTGCCATGCCATACATAAGAATTAAGAGTCCCCAAGTTCACTAGTCCCACCCAATTTAGGCTGCTATATATATTTTCCTCGGAGAAAATAAGCTTGTTAAAAATGCTACACAATTTAAAACAAATAAGTATTCGGTGTACATGACCCTACCTTAGCGTACTTGTAAATCATACAAACCCATATAAAAAGTACAAACGGAGGCATTCTCTGGGACTGTTGTCTGTAAAAGTTTAAAGTGTGTAACCTCAGAAAAGCTGAAAATTTCTTTGAATGATGCCTTATAGAACATTGTATTAAAAATTAAAATTAAATGTAACATACAATTTTGGTTGTTCCAAGATCAAAATTCTTTTTTGTCAACATGTCTATTTTTAATATGCATCTTTATAGTGGGAAAGGACTACAGCTCAGAAATTTTTAAATAGTCCAATTTTCCTCCAGTGTTTTTGGATCTTCAGACTCCAGAGTAAAAATTATTCCTGAGACTCAGTTAACGAATATGCTATGTTCCAAGTTAGTTAAATTTTGTTCAGTAGCTATATTATTTCAGTTTTTATTTTCTTTTTGCTTGAGTTTTTGCTTCTTACTAAAGAACTCAACTGAAAGTCCTAAAGGAAAATGTTCTTAAAAGCATCATAACTAATTTAATATGACTAATGGGATGTTTTTAAACCGTGTTATACAACTTGCACATCTTTTTTACCCTCCTTTACTCAGCTTCAGAGGCTTTCTTTTTTTTTTTTTTTAAAGATTGGCACCTGAGCTAACATGTGTTGCCAATCTTCTTTTTCTTCTTCTTCTTCTCCCCAAAGTCCCCTGGTACATAGCTGTATGATCTGGTTGTGAGTGCCTCTGGTTGTGCTATGTGGGACGCCACCTCAGCGTGGCTTGATGAACGGTGCCATATCTGCACCCAAGATCCAAACCAGCAAAACCCTGGGCCGCCCCAGCCAAGCACAAGAACTTAACCACTTGGCCATGGGACCGGCCCCCAGAGCCTTTCTTTTTAGTGGTGAGATTTCATCATATTTTTCATGGCATTATCAACACTGCAAGTCTCCAGCAGACCAAGGCAGTGGTAAGGAAAACAATAGGTTAAGGCCATTGGAAACCAGGGCCATAACTTCTCCAGTGTATGTGACCACCAAGCCCTTTTCAGAAAGTGATTGTCACAAAGTCACATAAGCTGCAAAATCTCAATAAGCTGTGTTTAATTTGGAGAAACAAGTTATTAAACACCAGAAAACTTCCAAACCAAAAACAGAAAAGGCTTGAGGGTCTCAGAGAAAAGACATTCAAAAAGTTACTAGAAAACATGAGATGCCATATTACAAAACTCAAAAGGGTGGACTTAGCATCCCTACTTGAAAGTTATCAAGAGTAGAGAGGGGTTGTTGCTGCTACCACTGCTTCTGCTACTGCTACATTTCATCATCATCATTGTATAATAATAATTTGTATTTATTCCAAAAAATTTGAATCACTCTGAGGATTAATTTATTTTCATATTATCCCTCAATAAAAAAGAAGTTATGGAATATGCCAACTTTATTAAGTTGGAAAAATTTAATTTCAAATGTGAGGCACCTACAGACCTGTAACAAATAAAGGAAAGTCAGAAATAATACCCAGATCTAAAAATTTCCAGATATTGCCCTTTCTTCAAGACCATGCTTGCAAATTGAAAAAAAAAAGTTTTTTACGTTGCAAGATAGAAGATTTTATTAACTCACAGTCCTGATCATCAGTTCATATATTAAAAAGCCACTTATTTTAATTTTCATACTTAGTTGACATATTTGAAGGAAAGCAATCATTTGAAAAATTCCTCTGTACCTTAAAATGTATTCATAGTGTCTGCGACCACAAAACTGAGCTAAGAAAGAGAAGCGCAGTGGCTAAGCTGCCAGCCTATGGCCACATCACACTCGTAACAGACATGGCCTTTCTAGGAGCCATTTAGATACAAATACAAGACATTTCAGTGTCAGATCTATACAACAGTCAATAAGACTATCAAATGTTCCCCGATATCCAATGCTCTTCAGGATTTTATCTCAGCCTATTCCTGATCATCCTTTAAGTCACATCACAAAGGCCACCTCCTACTAGAAGCTTTCTTGGACATAGGTACTTCTGCTGTTATACACATCTCCATTATAGCAACTAGCACACTGCACAGAATTACCCATATTCATGCCTCCTCACTAGGACCATGTATTTTCATCTTTGAAATCATGTAATCAAATGGTTCTCACCTTTTCACCACCAACAATCCTTTTATTAATCCTCCCTCATAAACTCCATCTTTAAAAGAGTGTTGCCTATCAAACTAGCCACATTATGTAATAATTAAATCATTTTCTAATTTTTATTAGTCAAAGACATATATAACTGACGTTTAACTCTTCCAATCAGCAAGGCATTATTCATTTATATTTGTATATGGGAAATGTAGCATTGCTTTAGGTCTGGAAACAAGTATGAGATAAAATAAATGAGCACTGACATTACATAGAAGAGATTGGAAAAAAAGAGGGACAAAAATGCCAGCCCTAATTTATGACACACAAGCTTTGTTTGTAGTGAATAATATCCTGAAGCAAAACCCAATTGAAACATTTATTCATATCAAGTAGGAAGTTAGACAGTATCACTGGCAAGGTTATCTACCCTCCATACCTTTTATTGAATGAGGCAATAAATATGAAAGCACTTTGAAAACTGAGCTCTATAAAATGTAAAAGAATTAGGGACTCTTTTCATGCCAAGATTCTACTTATCACATAACTATTGTCAGTCCTAACATAGTGGTCCAGAACTGTTCCATGTACTTCTGTACACAGTATCTTCAAACTTAATCTTCCCAACAACCTCATGTGATAAATTCTATCACAATCTCCATTTTAAAAATTAGGAAATTGAGACTTATAGAGATTTCATAATGTTTCCAAGGTCGCACAATTAGTTTAGGAAATAAGATTTCAAAGGAAAAATTCAAGAAATAAAAATTGAAAGTTTAATTTTAGTTTTCTCACATGCAGGTCTATCATTCAAGTGAAAATATATGTTTCCATTTTTTCTTAAAATGAAAGCAAGAGAAAGCAGATTAAGATGTGTATATTTGACAGAAAGAACTTCCTGGTGTTAATCATTGAGACACGTAACCAAAGAAGATTATTGAATCATCTTCTTCACGGGTTTTCAAAATAAAGAGAGCTTCTTAACTGATAAGAATAGAGAAAGGATGATCAATGCACCTTTGGAGGATGGAGAATGACAGGAGAAATGATCTTTTGAATCTTTTCCAGTCCTTAGAATTGGAATTTTCTAAAATTTGAGAGCTGGGAATCCAAACGCTACAGTTAGTCACTACTCTATCCCAACTCTGCCAGACAGCTAATGAATTCTCCTTTCTAGGAAAGAAAGGAAGGAACATGTATCGCTGTCTCTGTTTCATGTAAGAGGAAAATAAACAGGTTATGTAACTTGCCAAAGATTACCTAGCAAGTGTGTAGTGAAGCTGACACTGGAAGCCAGATCTGTATAATTCTAAGTACAGTACCACTTCAACAGCAATAGATAACATGTATTAAACAGTTATTTTATACCAAGCCCCAAACTTAGTGCTTTACATTCATTTATCTCATTTAATCTTCACAATAACCCTGTGATGTAGATATTACGATTACTCCCGTTTTAGAGATGAAGAAACGGAGAGTTAGGGATTATACCATGGATATATTGAGGGTGGATGGGCCGGCTGACTTCTCCACAGAAGGTTCAGTGCCCACGGAGATAGCTGAAGATCTTTTCTGAGAAAATAACAACATTCTTGCACTTTGATATTCTCTCCAAAGAAAGAACAATAAACTATTTTCTCCTAGTTAGGAGTATTCTTCTCCAGTTGTACCAATGATCTGCTTAACACCATGACAACTGCACCTAAATTCCTCCACCTATCAAATATTAAAAATCTTCAATAGAAGAGAAAATCCT